AATCCTAAATGTAACGCGTTTGTCTTATTTAATGAAGCTTACAGGGAATATGGCACAAAAAGGGAGTTGGGGAGCGTTTGGGGAACATCTGTAACGGTTCCCGTTACAATTAGCCCTAGTTACTATTCTGTTAAGTAGAATATTCATACATATTTTATTTTTCAGAATGGGGAATACGGTGTAGATATTTGTTTTTGTAAATAGCGTTTGGTAGATTTTTTTTAATGCCGCTATGTGTTTTTCTTATGCGAGTACGCATAAAGCTGGGGTGGGTGTGATGAAACGCAAAGCTGTTCCTATATGTTCGTCATAGCGAAAGTTATCGCCCTTGTTATTATTAGTTACTAATTATATACATCGAAAATAAATACTTAATTAGTGTTGATTTTGAATTAAAGTGATCAATAATAATCATTGTATGTTACTTTAGTTGGGTTACTAAAGATTTGTTGATTGGAAGCTAAATTAGTGTTTTAATTAGTTTGTAAATAAATAATCACTTTGTATTATAGTTGGTGTTAAGATATATAGGGTTTTTACTGGCAATAACACGTGAGAGGTTCTAGAGGTCAAACTCGAACAAATCTTGCTTAGTACATGTAAGTGTGCGGACTTCCCTGCTTATATTGTACTGTGATAAGTGATAAGTGTGCGGTCATCCCTGCTTATTACTTGACAGTGTGTGTGGTCATCCCTGCTCTGTAATTGGCATCTCTAAGTAGCAAGTGTGCTGACATCCCTGCTTGATGCTGCGCAAGATCAGGTGGGTGGACATCCCTGCCTGCATCTTGTGGTAGAGCATTGGTGTGCGGATATCCCTGCCAGTGTCTCTAGTCATAATCTATTAGTGTCAAGTGTGCGGCTACCTCCTTGGCCCCTGTCACTGCGCAAGGGCAAGTGTGCGGTCATCCCTGCTTGTCTCTTGTGGAAGTGCGATGGTGTGTTGACTTCCCTGCCAGTGTCACTTGTTCGCTACCGGTAAAGACCTTATATACGCAGTACCAAGTGATTAAGACTGCGATGTATATTAATGATATTCCCTTTTATGATGGTCATAGAAACATGATAAACAGGATGACAGCAGCTTTAACATCATGAACGTTAACATTTGGAAAATTCTTATATCGACAGTTTAACCTAGTATGTAAACAACATTATATTCTTATATTCTTTAGTCAATGTTTGACTGACATCTTTAGGTGGTCATTATTTTTAACGCAATATGAGCTGCGTTTTTTGAGAATTTTATTTTGTTGGTAAAAATTTTATTATGATTTATGTGTGTGTAATCTAAACCTCTTTGATCAAAAAGACCAAATTAAAGGTTAAAAATATTCAGAAAAAATATTTCTGTACAACTGAATATATAGTATTATATAAGAAACCATTATTGTACAGGACGACAATAATTCAATTTTGCTTCAACGAAAGCTTATAAAAAGTTCTTCCATAGCAAATATGAACAACAGAAGTTCAAAAACGTTCTATTTTCCTGTCATTGAAAAAGTTAATTATAAATTTGAAATGCTTTTTTTTCCGATGTCATACATGCAGCTCATTATTTTTAATTGTCTGCCGATTTTGAATTTACATGAGCATGGCAAAGTGCACACGTCGGTGCGACCGGTCGACAAGGGATGATCACTTCTCCATGGCACCTGATCCTACCTCTTATTTTCAGGGGTCCGTTTTCTCCACTTATAATTTGTTTGTTTCATCGGACTTTGAGGAAGATCATTGGTCGCCATCTTCACATCTTATTGTTTGACGATGAGCCGATTGAATGTGACCGGTCGACAAGGGACCTGATCCTACCTCTAGTTTTCAGAGGTCCGTTTTCTCCATTCATAATTTGTTTTGTTTAATCGGACTTGGAGCAAGATCATTGCATGGCCGTAATCTTCACATTTTATTGCTTGTACAATATAGGATATCTTTAAATAAATATAATTAGCTGTTTAGAAAGGGGGAAACACGCCTCTGAGAAGACCGAGCCTCTAATGGTGTATTCTTATAACAAAAAGATATCTTTATACAACCTACTTGTTGAAAAGAACTGTAGAGGCAGTAGTTTTAAAAGAATTTCCCAGAAATGTTTACTTTCAGTTACCATGTCAACACCATTGGTCAATATCAAAAACTTTCAAAGAGAATTATATATGTATCTTAGTATAGTTTAATTTTGAATCAAGCGTTGTTGATATTGGACAAAACTTGAATAATTAGTTAGCAACAGCATTTGTAGAAATGAAAAAAAAAATTAAATTAAAATCATTTATCTTAATATTGTTGATATTAAATGAAAATTGTTTTTCAGAGTACGTGTTTTGAAATAATTTCAACAGAAAAAAGTCAAAACTGTTCGTTGAAATCAAATCAATACACAGAATTATATCTTGATGTATTTTCTTACTTTACCAGTTGTTATTCAAATTGGACCAAAACTGTAGAAGGAGAAGCAATTTTATAAATTGCTTACAGGCAAATGAATGGCAGACGTCGTCCCAATGCATAAGCTCTTGTGGTTTTTGGCCAGTAGAGCTAGAAAGGACTATTACAGCTATACTCTGAAAATAATACATTATACTCTTTTTATTGCCTTTATAAATTGGTGTAAACAGCATAAAATTATTCATATGTAGACAAACAGAATTCTTTTATTCTGTGAAACAAATCAATATACTACCCAACTGTTTTAGCATCTAAAACAATGCTGTAAGGTATATAAAAACAAAAACATAAAACTCTTAATGATTAAACATAAACTGTTACTGATTACGTCATGGAATGCACAGTTTGGTTGTCTCTTAATTAAGTCTGTATTTTATTGTTATAGATAAGCCAAAAACAATTAAAATATCCTACTAACATCACAGAAAATCAAAATCAATCCAGACAAAGAATATATTTTATTTCCAGAGAATAATTTAAATTTGGTTGTATGCGTCATTTGATTGGATAAATAATTAATCTTAATCTTAATTGTATAACCTGGGTTTCCTAAGTCATAATGACGCGTAGACATGTGTATTACTTTTAAAATATGATCATTTTGAACTCTTTTTAAGAGAGAAATTGTGTGTTTTCTATTGTTGATGATGGAAAATTAAATTATTATGAATGAATTAAATAGCAACCTAAGTTTTACTGCTATAACCTCGGTTGGAGCAGTTCACGCTTTTTTTTCAAACAGCATCGTTTAGTATAACTTGGGTTGCTATTCAATTCATTCCTTAAATTTTGGGGGTTTTTTTCCTGTTATATCCCGCATAGCTGTGTTTCATTTGTTGATTGTCTGAACTATTAATGCCCTAAACCCATATATACAATACAAATGTACAGATTTGTTTATATCCAGATTCCTGCGTTATTCTTAAAACTGCCTGGTTATCAGTAAACTTACTAAGGTCCAGCTTATAAACTTTAACATTACATATCTGTATTAAAATCTAAATAGAGAATTTAAGATGGAGGACATGATCTATAGAACACAAGTTATATGTACAATAAATGAGTACAAAAGAAATCAGGATACCGAATGAGATATCAGAATGAGAATTGATAAACAAATGTCAAATGGTTCTAAATTACAATCTTGGAAATGAAGCTTTCATTTGTTGAAACATTAAGTTACACACTGTAGAAAGCACCAATATTCAAAGTCATCTGAACAAAACAAGCACCTGTTTCTAAAAAAAAAAGACCATCATACAAAGTTGATCAACAGTTGAAATGAAACTTGATTCAGCATTAGGAAAATCAGGAAAATCTTAGATGATTCCCTTTAACATATAGATCTATTACCTGCAAATAGTATGGTGTGTAACATTAAAAAAACAAGGTCAATTAACATATTTAATAATGAAAACCAGTCAATATAAAATAAGAAGTTGAGAACCAGTTACTTAGTTTTTCAGATAAAACTGTAAGTTAATTATTACGAATTAACTGAAAAGTAAAAATGGAAAAGCATTAATATCATATCATTTACATGTCAATCAAGTCTTTCATAACAACTACCTGTAAATAACAAACTTCTGATATAAGCAACTGCAAAATTTTCTCTAGAGGGTGTTGACAAAATCAAAATAATCAATGGAATATTTCATACAGGTATTTTAAGCAGCATCTAATATAATAAAAAAAATTGCAAGAATCGGATTCCCTGCTTGTATTGACCACCTATAGAGATGACCATCTTTATTCTGATAGGGGGTGTTTTAAAGTCACATTATTTACATTATTTATTTTCATGTCGCTGAAGGATCAAGGACAGATTTTTTATTTTGTTCTTCACTAAAAGAGTATGACAAGCAAAAAAGTGAAAACATCGAAGTCAGGGACAGATTATTTATTTCCACTCCAGTTGAGGACAGATTATTTATTTTCAACATTTTGGAGGGCAGATGAATTATTTCCAACATCTGCCCCCCTCCCTCAGAATCAAATGGTCGTCCCCTAATAGTATCAAATTTGACTATTTTATAATTTCCGTTCATAGGTTGCTCAAAAACACAGGCTTTAAATAGGATTTACTACTGTAATTACACGAGGCATGGATTTTTCTTTTCTCAGACACAAACTTATTCCTCTCAATATGAGAAAACTTCTCTCTCTTGATCAATACAAAGCATTCAATACTTACACACTCAAACTAAAATACCTCCTGAATATGAAACATAAGGAGGCAGCGTTAAATGAAATGTTAAAGACTTTTTGGCACAATTTGAACTTGATCACAGAAAAAAAAAGATGAATAAAACTGTCCCCATCCTGGGACAGTAGAGCACCTTTGCCTTTGGTTTAACTTCAATAAATAAACATCAAATATCCAAAGTAGATCAGAGACCACTATGTGACGCAACCCATATCAATGTCATTGAAATCATTTCTCTCCTAAAAATCATCTAAAGTTGTGGCCCCGCCCCATTATGGTTTTGGCCCCCTCTCTTTTATGTTTGTGAATCCACCCCTTTAGGATAGTGGCCCTGCCCCTTTAGGTCAGTAGCCCCGCCTCTTGGACATTGTCAGCTACAGGGATGGAGAAGGAGGAGCTGGGAATGACGTCCTCGTCCAGGTCCTCGAGGTCAGCGTTAGGTCGACTCCGCCTCCGGAGTTCTGTCATTGTGTGAATGGTCTGCTCCCGACTCTCCTGCTCCTCCTCCAACCAACTCTGTCAACGATAAATAAACAACAATAAATACACAAAAACAAACAACTCTGTCAATGAAATAACCAATGATAATAGACTACTCTGTCAATGTTAAATAAACAACAATAAACAACGATAAATAAACAACAATAAATAAACAACTCTGTCAATGATAAACAAACAACTCTATCAACGATAAATGAAGAACTCTGTCAATGATAAATAAACAACAATCAACACAACCACCTCTATAATGATAAATAAAAAACAATAAACAAACAACTCTGTCAACCATAAATAAATAACTCTGTCTACAACAAATAAACAACAATTAACAACCAACTCTGTCAACGATAAAAAAAACAACAACTCTGTCAATGATAAATCAACGATAATAAAACAACCAACTCTGTCAACGATAAATAAACAACAATAAATAAACATAAATAAACAACCATCTCTGCTAACCATAAATTACCAATGATAAACAAACAACTCTGTCAACAACTAGAAAACTGACCAGTCAGCAAGGGCCCTGCCATGGGGTAGAATTATAAGGGTGCAGCTTAGGGAATGATTCAAAAATATATGACAAGTAAGGAACAGAAACTGTATTCTTATAATTTCAAGATAATTCCTGAATATCCAGAAACCTGTAACTAATATCCTTATATTTACATAAGGCAGTTAAGAACAACTCAACACTGAATGAATATCTAAACAATTAAATGCCAGCCTTCAATGAATGCAAATACATATCATGCAGGCTTGACCTTAACTTCAAAACAAACAGCAATTGCAGACAAAGGTTTTCATTAATCTTAAAGTGACAGATAAAGATAGGCCTACTAAATTTCCTGCAGCAGACTAGATAATTAATGCCAAGGGATTAATTGTACTTCTCTCTCATCATTTTCTTCTGAATTTATAATAAGAACTTTTTTTCTGTAATGATAGAATGAGGTTTTAATCCTACTACATTAAGAATTAATAATATTCTTGAATTTACATGAAGCAAGAAAAAAATAAATAAATAAATAAAAATAAAAAAAATATATCTTCTTTAATCTATTTCTTGTTTTAAGAATTCAATAAAATCAGAACTCATTGTGTAGGGTATTTCAACAAAAATAAAGTAAAAACATTTATTCTTCAATCCACATTTCAGAGTGTTCATAGCATTGCAAATGGACTTCAAAACAAACTTCATGTGCAGACAGAGGTGGTAAATAATCTCAATGTGACAGATAAAGATAATGCTTTGGATTTTCTTCAGGAGGAAAGCTAATTAATCCCAAGGGACTCATTCATTGCAGTTTACAATGGGAACATTTTCAGCAGTTATCTCTCTTTGCCAAATCAATCTTATATGAAGTTAAGGTATCTACCCCATCACCCCAGCTCCAAACCAGAGGACACAGAGAAACAAATTTAACATCAATATACGTCTTTCTGCCTGCTGAACTAGTATACCAAATTTGAACTTAATTGGGCTACCATAAAAAAAGTTATAAGGAAACAACAGAAAATTTGTGGACGGAAGAATGACAGACAAACAGAGTGATTACTGTAGGGCACCTGCAAATCCTTGCGGGGCCCTAATAAATAACCAACTCTGTCAAAAATAAATAAACAATGATTATTAACCAACTCTTTCAATGATGAATAAACAACTTAGTCAACAACAAATACACAACAATAAGCAGACAACTCTGTCAACCATAAATAAACAACAATTAACAAACAACTTTGTCAACAATAAATAAACAACAATAGAAAAAACTACAAGTAACAACTTTGTCAACAACAAATAAACAAGAGGCCCATGGGCCTTATAGGTCACCTGAGTATTGTGTAACAACTTTCATACAATTGAATTTGGTTCCTGTTTTAAACCAGAGGCCATGAAATTCACAATTTACAATTTTGAAAGAGGCACCATTGCTTATCATAATTATTAACTTAGCATGCTTACTCTATTTACTTAATACCCAGATGTGGATCAGAGTAACAAAGAGAAATGCACTTACACTTTATACCCAGTTGTGCACCTCACCCTAAAGGCACCACTGACCCATGGTCCACATATTTCAAAATTTTGCAAATTTTATCATAAAATGGTTGATTAATACCAAAAGAGAAGATTTCAAAGCATTGATTTATTTTCAGACTATGTAACCCCCCTCCCCCTCTGACCCTGGGGCATAAAAAAATACTTTGCTAGATGCACCTTTCTTCATCATAAATATATATATATACTTGGATCATTGGCATAAAACCCAGAAGCAAAGGAAAATATTTTCAAAGAATTAATGTATTTTAACTATATAATCAGTAGAGCCACTCCCTAACACCAGAACCCCTAACCCTGGGGCCATAAAATTCACAAATCTGGGAAGAGGCACTCTTGCTCATCATAGCTATGTGTTTAGTTAGTTTATTCAATACCCAGGAGCAGAGAAGAAGATTATCAAAGAAAAAATGCATTTCACTTTATATTCTATATAGTCCCTCCCTAACACTAGAACCCCTGACCCTGGGGCCATTAAATTTACAATTTTGGAAGAGGCACTCTTGCTCATCATAACTATGTTCTTAGTTAGTTTATTTAATACCCAGGACCAGAGAAGAAAATTTTCAAGTAATGAATACATTTTCACTATATGATCTATACAGCCCCGCCCTAACACCAGAACCCCTGACCCTGGGGCCATAAAATTCACAAATCTGGAAGAGGCACTCTTGCTCATCATAACTATGTGCTTAGTTTGTTTTTTTAATACCCTATTGCAGAGAAGAAGATTTTCAAGTAATAAATGCATTTTCACTATATAATCTATAGAGCCCCGCCCTAACACCAGAACCCCTGACCCTGGGGCCATAAAATTCACAAATCTGGAAGAGGCACTCTTGCTCATCATAACTATGTGTTTAATTAATTTATTTAATACCCAATTGCAGAGGAGAAGATTTTCAAAGAAATAATGCATTTTCACTATATAATCTATAGAGCCCCTCCCTAACACCAGAACCCCTGACCCTGGGGCCATTAAATTCACAAATCTGGAAGAGGCACTCTTGCACATCATAACTATGTTCTTACTAATAGTTAGTTTATTTAATACCAAGAAGCAGAGAAGAAAATTTTCAAGTAATAAATACATTTTCACTATATGATCTATACAGCCCCGCCCTAACACCAGAACCCCTGACCCTGGGGCCATAAAATTCACAAATCTGGAAGAGGCACTCTTGCTCATCATAACTATGTGCTTAGTTTGTTTATTTAATACCCAATTGCAGAGAAGAAGATTTTAAAGTAATAAATGCATTTTCACTATAAAATCTATAGAGCCCCGCCCTAACACCAGAATCCCTGAATCTGGGGCCATAAAAATTCACAAATCTGGAGAGAGGCACTCTTGCTCATCATAACTATGTGTTTAGTTAATTTATTTAATACCCAATGGCAGAGAAGAAGATTTTCAAAGAAATAATGCATTTTCACTATATAATCTATAGAGCCCCGCCCTAACACCAGAACCCCTGACCCTGGGGCCATAAAATTCACAAATCTGGAAGAGGCACTCTTGCTCATCATAACTATGTGTTTAGTTAGTTTATTTAATACCCAGGAGCAGAGAAGAAGATTTTCAAAGAAATAATGCATTTTCACTATATAATCTATAGAGCCACGCCCTAGCACTAGAACCCCTGACCCTGGGGCCATGAACTTCACAATTTTAATAGAGGACTCAATGCTCATTACATTCATGCCAACAGTTTGCCTGCTTGATGTCCAGGAGTAAAGAAGAAGATTTTTAAAGATTGCAATAATTTTAGTGGTTTTGGCCCCACCCCTCAGGCCCCAGGTGGGTGGGGACCATGAAATTCACAATTTTTGTTCCCCTTCACCCATAGATGCTGTATACCAAATTTGGTTGAAATTGATTCTGTGGTTTCAGAGAAGAAGCTGAAAATGTTCAAATGTTAACACACGACGCACGACGACGGACGAAAACGGATAGCAATAGGTCACCTGAGTTACTTAGCAGACAATTCTGTCAATGATAGATAAACAACAATAAACAAACAAATATGAACAGGAAATACCAATGAAATATTAAATATTGACTGTTGTTCAGATATCCTAAATTCTTAACAATCATCTCATTTTTACTGATCTTAAGAATATACACCTATTTTTGTGTTAATGAACAATCATTTAATTTCTATAAAATACTTGATTCAAATTGGATAAAAAATTCTTTTGATAACTGCATCAATAGAATCTGGAGTTCACTTGCACTAAGTATCCGGAACTACTTTGGCAGTCTTTACATGCATATTTCCACTTCCAGATTACTTTTTGAAGGAATAATTAAATATCTTTATTTTAATAAATATTTTCCTGAACTTCGAAACCTGTCCATTACGTTCCTTACTTATTTTCAACTTTCGATTCCTTTTGAATTATCCCCCTTTGATAAACAAATCAAATCGTCTGCATAACATTATAGCCTACAGTTTGGGGGAATATGGAAAGAAATCGGCATACTTTTGTTAATGTTTGACTTTGAGATATCTGGTATGGGCAATGGAACTCTGGTGAAATGTGTCTTATGCTACAAAAGAGGGGGAAACCGTTAATCTGTTAAGTCTTGGGAAACGAATGATCGAGAAAAACGGCAGTGCATGAATGAGGACGGAATTCTTTTAATCTTAAACAGTCAGCAGCAGACTCTTTCAGGTTTTACAGCATTGACAGGTTGTGATACGTATTTATGTGTTCGGTTTGAAATTCAGAATGGGATGAAAAGATGCGCAAATGAAATCCAAAATTTCTGTGACCTAGAACTGTTTGGATATTTGAGTAGCTTCCCTTTACATTTACGAACTTAGTAACTTACCGGGGAAAATATACCTACCTCAGGCTGGAATTAAAAATATCTTTGTTTCCCCTAACCCGACCCAGAATTCTCAATTTGGGTCGGTAGGTAGGTAAACAATTTTGTTTTATGACAGCAGCTTTGAAAATAAGTTCTAAAATTTAATAGAAAAAACTTTTTTAAGGAAGAAAAGAAGAAAACAAAGCGATTTGGGAACAAAATGCTAGGGATCAAACATATGCTGTTTAAACATGTTTAAGGAAAATTTATGATTAACTAATTTACAACTGTTATTTAGTTGAACTTGTCAGGTATCTCACGCCAGAGTATATTTATATAGATCGAAAAGATAAAGAAAAGATTCTCAAATACGCAAAGACCGGGGTCTGCCGTCATAAAACTTTGAGAATTCTCATAAAATTCTCAACTCAACTCTTGAGAATTACTCAGCTGAGAATTTGAGAATAAAAGAGTTTAAGGTATTTTGATTTTTCTCAACTTTTTTATGACGGCCACTGAGTCTGAGAATTTTGGATTTGAGAAAATTCTCAGACTTGACAGCATTTTCAGACTTAAGCATGTTTTATAACAGCGGACCCGGACATCCGAGTATATTTTTTCAAACCTTCCATCAGCCCCCAGTGCATATAGACAATCAATGTACTTTTTGAGGGCCATCAGATTTGCAGTGTTTCAAGAGCATTTTTGCTTTAGAGTTAAAGAAGTAAGTGTCTAATTTTAAGTCGCAGGTCCAAATACCAATAAGGAACGTTGAAAACAGTCTTTCAAAAGGGACCATAAAAACTTATGTCCAGTCTCGCAAAAGATGCTGGCTCAAAAAAGATCCCTTATAGTCTGACTAAAGCCAGTCCCTACTATATCTCTTCGTTAGTAGGGTCCCTACTAACGAAGTAATATAGTAGGGGCTGGCTTTAGTCAACGAAGTGATATAGTAGAGGTTGGCTTTAGTCAGACTGTCTGTGTTCCTATGTTTACTATGTGCCATTACGGAACCATAGGAGTTGTTGTAAATATGTCTGCATATTCATCCTCATAAATATAATTCAGATTTTTTTTCTTTAATGCCTTTATTTATGGGTTAAACTTCGTAACTATGACATTGTTTATACATGTAGCATATTGTTTAAATACTCTTTAAAATTAGTTTTGAAATTATGATTCGGCTTCCTGAGACGCCTATGGTGTATTTTTCTTTAATTACGCCCTCGAAGATTTGTTGTTTCTTTGCTTTTAATCCCTTCGAGATTTGTTTGGACGACATTTGAACATTTCCCAATTGCTCGAAATTTAGACGTACTCAGCACTTTTTTGCCATTAAGCAGTAAGGGATCCAGTCTGACTAAAGCCAGCCCCTACTATATCACTTTTTGAACTGGTTATGGTTATTAGATCAAAACACTAGGTGGGCCCCTCATCTGCTTATTAGGCCGGCCTTATATGTATACGTCGCCGTTGTTTTATTAAGAACCTTTTCTCAGAAATCACATCTTGGCGCCATTTTCTTCAATAAATCACAGTAGAACAATGTCGGCCGTTCTGTTAAAAACTGATTTTGATGAAACTTAGTTAACAATAAAAAAAATAATTGAATCTTCTTATTTAAAAGATCTTTTCAGTCAGTGCGATTTAATTGGGTCGGTCGCGTTAGGGGAAACAAAGGTATTTTTTATTTTGGCCTCATGGAATATAACACAAGTAAGTGTCTGTGTTAAAGAAATGTAAATTATTTCAGAAAATGTTGGTAATGACATGACAATGATAGAGAACGTTTCTTCGTTAGAGCCATTTTGAATTTCAGCAACGTGAACGTTGTTGTGATGAATTCGTGCGCACGATTTTTGATGCATAAATTTCAAAGAAAAAGTGAAAGAAAGTTTCATTTTTATACCCCCCGCTTGAAAAGTGGGAGGGTATATAGTAATCGTTAATTCCGTCCGTCCATCCGTCCGTCCGTCTGTACGTCCGTCCGTCTGTTACGCTTTGGGGTACCTATCTCTTATCCGCAACTCCTCTCATACCACTGAATGAAATTTGATGAAACTTTCACAGAATCTTTATTACATATTGCCAGTGTGCACCTCCTATTTTACTTTTTGATCCGACACATATTTTGGGTTTCCCGGCCACAGGAAAACATGGACTTTTTCACCAGTTATAACCATATGGGAGGCGGGGGGTATCATTTAGTGAGCTCATCGCTCACAGTACCTCTAGTTTAAATTTAAAATCATAATTAAATGATAAGAAATTAATGCAATATTTTTTCCTTTGATCGAAGTATCAAAGAAAAAATTTGGACAGAAAACTTTTTCATCAATGCACTATGAGCATTGATGAAGTTTTCCGTCAAATTTTTTCTTTGATACTTCGATCAAAGGAAAAAATATTACATTCATTTCTTAAAAACATTCAAATTATTTATTTAAATAATAAAATGTTTTTTTGATTGTTAGTAGGGAATTATCTTTGCAGAAAAAAACGACCCATGTAAACGGTTCTATAATTTTTTTCTGCAAATTGCTTCGGCATTAATTCCCATACAAACAAACAAACAAACGAAGCATTTTATTGTTTACATGTACATCTGTATTAAAAATCATTGAAAAAAAAAATTAAATTTGTTAATATTAAGATGAATATGTCATTGTATGTAGAACTGATGGAACAGCCATTGTTCAAGAAAACAACACACATGGATTGCTAAGTTATGTTCATGCACTGATTACTGGCAATGGTCTTCATAAGAAATAAATGAAAAAATATATATGGATGTAAATATAACATGTTTATGACTAAGGCATTTTTAGGAACTTGGGGGGGGGGGGGGTGGGGGGGTATTTTTGAGAGGTATTTCTCAAGAAACACTTTTGTTAAATGAATTTAATCAAACTGACCTTGACTTCATCCCCATACATCCTGAGACTGAAATCTTCTTTGTTCCTGTGTCTTTCTCCCTTGTACATGTAAGGGGTCTGGAAAATCAAAATCAGAATAAAACTTCTATATACTATGTTCTGTAATTTTTTTTAAGACTTAGTCCTTTAAAAATCGTTTTTCATGAACTACAGCTACTATTTTTTTTTGCAGAAAAAATTAAATTAACATTATAAAAATTGTATCACAACTTTTAAAAGCTGTTTCTCTACTAAATCTGAATGCATGTAATTGTGTTATCAGAAAATCAGAAAGGTAAACTTACAGCCAACGAAACATATTTAAGCTCACCTGGAGTTCTGTGGAATCTCTCTGTAGAGCTGTATATCGACCTGTCCACTTATAACAATGACATACCTGTAGTTCAGTTGAATCTCTCTGTAGAGCTATGTATCGAACGGTCCATTTGTAGTCCGGGTTCTCACACATCATCTTTTCTTCATCACTGATGTACACGTGTTCTGTCTGCTTGGCATGATCTGAAAAAAATATCACAATTTTACAGGTATTCAAATGTCTCTTTTTTAATAAACACTGGGAAAAATAACTTCATTGATTTTGAGGCGTTTTCCTTTTTCCATGAACATATTGGCGTGAATTTTTTTTGTGAAGATCACATGTTATTTTTGTGTGTATATCATACATGGTCCTTTGCATCTCCTTCTCAAGCAAAGAATTTACATGATAATCATGCGAAATTTCATATGAAGTTCATGCGAGCCCTGTAAAGCAATCACTTAAAAATAATAATTAAAGATATGAAATCAGTGTGTATCCTACAATGTAGCTATGAAATCAGTGTGTATCCTATCTATGAAATCACTGTGTATCCTAGCTTATGAAATCACTGTGTATTCTAGCTATGAAATCAATGTGTATCCTAGCTATGAAATCAATGTGTATCCTAGCTATGAAATCAGTGTGTATCCTATCTATGAAATCACTGTGTATCCTAGCTTATGAAATCAATGTGTATTCTAGCTATGAAATCAATGTGTATCCTAGCTATGAAATCACTATGTATCCTAGCTTTTAAATCACTATGTAATTCTAGCATTGTTTGCTAGCTTACCATCTATGTCCTCCAGTTTGAGTTTCCTCCTGTACTGAATACGGAACAAAAACAACTCCAGGATGAAGGCTAATACTATCGTCATGACAACCTGTAAAGGACATAATTGTTATACTAACCTTGAAAAAAAACTTGGTCAAAATTAGAACTGTTCAAAATGGACAAATACTCCCCACTGGGTTTTTAGAGAGAAGGTGGCAAGTCGCTTCTACATGTGACCCTGGTTTTTTTTAAACTTTGAATTGTGGCCCAAGGTGTTATGGTTTAAACAAATACAGTGTATGCACCAACAATATGAGGTGCAGTTTGACTTTTGATTTGATATTTTTCTGTTGCTTTATATTCTTATCTTATTAAATTAGATTACTAAATGAGAGAGGGGGGTTAAGGTGCAGTTTGACTTGTGATTTGAATTTTTTCTGTTGCTTTATATTCTTATCTTATTAAATCAGATTACTAAATGAGAGGGGGGGGGGGGGGGGGGGTGTAGTTTGACTTTTGATTTGATATTTTTCTGTTGCTTTATATTCTTATCTTATTAAATTAGATTACTAAATGAGAGAGGGGGGTTAAGGTGCAGTTTGACTTGTGATTTGAATTTTTTCTGTTGCTTTATATTCTTATCTTATTAAATCAGATTACTAAATGAGAGAGGGGGGGGGGGGGGGGGGTTAAGGTGTAGTTTGACTTTTGATTTGATATTTTTCTGTTGCTTTATATTCTTATCTTATTAAATCAGATTACTAAATGAGAGAGGGGGGGTTAAGGTGCAGTTTGACTTGTGATTTGAATTTTTTCTGTTGCTTTTTATTCTTATCTTATTAAATCAGATTACTAAATGAGAGAGGGGAGGGGGGTAAATATTTCTTTATTAATCAATCCAAGATCATTTCTGCAGTAAAAGCAGACTTGTAACAAAGTGACAGAAACATTTTTGCTTCATTATAAGCATAACTCGTTATGTCCAGTGAAGTGTACAATATATTTTAAAGTAAAGTAAAACAAATAGCTAGCCTGTTTTGCTGTATCCATCTTGAATTTTAACTTTATATAAATAATATAGCAACCGTTCTTCAAAATATTTCATTGTGTTTTCTAAATTTGCCAGCACTTTAAAGTTATTCATTCTAAATATTTATGTATCTACTACATTTATATAATTTCTTTTGAGTGTTAATAGGAAAATACAAAATCTTTTAAAAAAATTTGCTGCTAAAATCAATGCTCTCTTTATACATATTCATATAATATTACAAAGAAGAATTTCCCAAATCTCTAAAAATAAAAAAAAAAATGAAGATATTTTTTTAAATTCACATGAAATGATCTAAAAAAAAAAAAATGAAGATATTTTTTTAAATTCACATGAAATGATCTAATGTAAAGTAGATCTTGTATTTGAGGTCTTTAAATCCCCTTCTAGACCAGGAAGTATAAACACCTGACAGGTAGATAACACAGGTGTGTCACGTGATCTAAGTACATAGAGGTAGACAGGAGATCGATTAACAGGATAGTTGCCATTACTGAAGTCAGGTAAGAAACATTAATTTTTTAAGTATTTCTGTGCATAACAGTTGAGAGTCATTGAAAATTAAGTAGTACAGGCTTTAACTATGAAAATAAAATATTATACCTGAAAGATTCAATGAACCTTGTACTGTAACAGTATATGTAATGTGATGCATTGTTTTGTCGACATGTGTATCTACATGTACCTATGACCTCAAACAAACTGTGGTTCTGGAGTCCAAAAAATGTATGATGACCTCAACCCAGTCAATATTTAAATATACATTGAATTTTTTATGCTTCAGACACAAAATCTAATGATGGACCCCCGTTCCAGTGCCCAGGATGTGATGCGATGTGACCTGTGTGAGAACACTGTGGTGCAGATGCATTGTGATACATGTCTTGTCAACCTGTGCGTAGCTTGTGTGGGAGTACATTTTTCTGCTGATCTCTCAAAACCTCACAAAATTGTCGACTTCAAGGACAGAAAATCCACTCCCCTCTACCCTAAGTGTAAATCTCATGACAAAGAACACTGTAATACTGTAAACAATGTGACATTCCTGTCTGCATCAATTGCCTTGACTCTAATCAACATTTAGGTCATGAATTATCTAAAATTTTGCGAGTTGTGGATGAAAAGAGGGACATGATAATAAAAGAAAAAAATGAATTAAATGATACAATTTACCCCACCTACCAGGACATTGCCTCTGATGTACAAAACAGAATGAGTCAGTTGGAAAAGGAATATGGAGATCTTTTCACAGCCATAACAAAACATGGAGAGAATTGGCACAGAGAGATTGACAAACTTGTCAAGAAACTTAAAGCTGAAGTTGAAGAGATGAAAAACACACAGATACAAACTCTACAGAAACATCTGGATGAAATAAACAAGACAATGTCTGACATCAAGAATGAAATCAATTCAATGGAAACTGCAATAGACACCAATGACATGTCTAAACTATTGAGTGTAATGTCCAATGTACAAACATACAGAAATCTTCCACACAAAATAATGCTGTCCTTACCTAAATTTATTCCAGGAAAAATACAAGGAGAAATTAACAAAATGTTTGGAGACTTATCAACAAGTTCTCTAACATCAGAAGAACATGGCTATAGCATGAAGACAATACAGAAATCACCAGAAGCTGGATCCTCTCCTTCAGTCAAACAACTGCTTGATGAACCAGAGACTGTCACCACCATAAACACTGAGTATAAATATTACCTTATCACTGTGTCCTGTTTGAGTGATGAAGAAATCATGACAAGTGGAGATGACAACACCATGAAACTCTACAGCATCAATCAGGGATCACTACTCAAGTCAATGACAACCAAGTCAAGGAATGAATTATGTTACATAGCAGTGACAAAGAGTGGAGATCTAGTTTATACTGATTACAAAGATAGAACTGTGAACATTGTGAAGAATGAGAAGATAGAAGAGGTGATCAGACTACAGAACTGGAGACCTAAAGCTGTCTGTAGTACCTCCTCTGGTGACCTCCTGGTTATCATGATCAGTGATGATTACAAACAATCAAAAGTTGTCCGTTACTCTGGCTCCACAGAGAAGCAAACCATTCAGTTTGATGATAAAGGTAAACTCCTGTATTTATCTGGTAGATACATTACTGAGAACAAAAACTGTGATATTTGTGTGATTGACTGGGGAAATAATGCAGTAGTGGTGGTCAATCAGGCCGGGAAACTGAGATTCAGGTACACTGGGCATACTCCTTTTCCAAAGAATAAACCATTAGATCCACGAGGAATCACCACAGACAGTCAGAGTCACATCCTTACGGCTGATATTGACAATGACTGTGTCCACATCATAGACCAGGATGGACAGTTTCTCCGTTACATAGACTGTGGACTAAGTTATCCCCAGGGACTGTGTACAGATACAAATGACAATCTGTTTGTTGCTCAATATCAAAACAAACAAGTGAAGAAAATCAAGTATCTGCAATGATATCCATCACTGCTGTATTCTATATAATTAACGATGTATGTAATTAATGATGTATATAACATTTTTGATGAATTAGTATGGTAAACTATGGAATCTTGCAATAATACATATTTTACTCTTATCATCAATGCATATCTTTTATCATTAAAAAATTATGAATGTACACGGGAAATAAGTTAAACTTCAAACTAGTAACAGAGATTTCTTACGTATACTTCTGAAAATGGTTTTCATTGTTTCATTAAAGGCTTTAGTGTAACAAGAGTCCCACAGATAGGGCTGTCACGGTTCCAAAATTTTTCGGGTCGGGTTGGTTCTGATTTTTTAGGGTTCGGTTTCGGGTTTTTCGGTTCGGGTAGGTAATGGAATAAAAGTTCCAGATTTGTATTATTTTCAACAACAAAAAGAATATTTTCATTTAATCTTAGAAATAGCAACATAATAACTAGTTTAAAGTAACTTCCTGACTAGAAAACAATTGTACCAAATTATTTAAATCACCTTATACTGGCAATCTACTAACAAATCTCTCGTTTTTGATGCCATTTTTATAGTAAAACCTACTCTATTGTACAAATCGGAACCGAACCGTATTCCGGAAAAACGGAACCGTACCTGACCTGAATTAATTGTTCCGTGGTTCCGGGTCATTTCGGGTACCCGTGACAGCCCTACCCACAGGCCTTATAGGTTACCTGTCAGTATCATGCAACAACTTTCCAACAAGTGTGAAATGAGAATGTACCAAGTTTATCCATAAGAAAGATATGGATCGGACACGAATTATGAACTTTTTCTTCCAGTGACCTTGAACTTCCCCAAATAGTTACTTGGGAAAAGACCTGCTCCAAAAACTTTAACCTGGTCACTCATTTAGAAAATTTATGTCAGATCCAGCATCCGAAGCAATTCTGATAATATGCATTCTTAGATGTATCATCAATACAAGTTTGGTCCAGGTAGGGCGTATAGTTCTTAGGGAATGGACCTGCTTCCAAAAACTTTAACCTGGTCACTCATCTGGAAAATGTAGGTCAGATCCAGCATCCGAAGCAAGTCTGGTAGTGTTCATCACTAGACGCATCATCCATGCAAGTTTGGTTCAGGTAGGGATTATAGTTACTTGGGAATGGACTTGCTCCTAAAACTTTAACCTGGGACGCCGACGCCAACGCCGAGAGGGGGTATAGCATAAGCTCATCTCAACTTCGTAGAGGTGAGCTAAAAGTAAACAGATGTAGCAGACAGATGTATTAAAATTCTATAAGCATGTGCAGCAGTAGCCCTGCAATATTACTCCCATGGGACAAATGGATTTTCACTCTCTCCTGTGTGATGCTATTAAGGCCAAAAAAAAATTAATAGTTTCTCAGGCCAAAAAAATCAGAATTCAATGCGGCAGGCAGGCTTTTTTTTTTTTTTTTTTGAATCAGGATTTAGTCTACACATTTTTTTAGGCCATTTGTTCAATAAAATGATAATAATATCTACTAATTCTTAAGTTTTGTTCTCTGAAATTAGTAATAATATGTATTCAACTTTAAATAATGTTACCCCAAACATTTATATAAAAGTTAATTAATATAATACTGAAAATTTAGAAGAAATGTAATATTTTCCTACTAAAAACGTTTATCTAAGCATTTAGGAAAAGGGGAATAACTCGATTTTTTCTACTTGGAAAATATGGAAAATTGAGTTATCTTTCTTTTCCTGAGAAACTATTAATTTTTTGGTCTAACTGCTTTTTTGTAGTACAGTATAATTGCATATCGGTATTTATATCATTACTGAAATCAAATATATTTATGATGACCATGGAGGTTTCTTTTTTTTCAAAAAAGAAATTGATAATTTTTCCTAAACATTGTTTGCTTCACTAAATCTTTTTTAATCTTCTTAACCTTCAAGGATGGGATGACATCTAATGATTTTCTCTTACCATCATAACAATGTAGAATGTCTTAACAATTTAGAACATCATAACGATGTAGAACATCATTAAGATAAGATGACATTTAATTTTGTGTATTCTTACCATCATAACAATGTAGAATGTCATGAAGATGAGATGACATTTAATATTGTGTATACTTACCATCATAACAATGTAGAATGTATGAAATAACAATGTAGAACATCATCAAGATAAGATGACATTTTAATTTTGTGTATACTTACCATCATAACAATGTAGAATGTCATGAAGAATGTTCGGGACACTTCTCCTGTGTGATGAGCAAATCCTTCCTATAAACAGCAAAAAAAATGTTATGTAGACCATTACAACTTTATCTGACGTAGCTGGAATTACCAGCTTTTTCTCAGGAGAATGCTATTAAAATGTCTTTATGACTATCTGCTAGTTAGAAACCTGATCAATTGTTTTTGCCTTTTACATCTCAAAGGACATGGTTCCCAGCAATAAATTATGAAATATTCTGTCCGAATTCTTGTTATACTTACCATTATTATGAACCAGTTGTTGACCACTGTTAGCTCAAACAACGTCACTACAATAGACGATACAAATAAAGATTGGTAAATATGTACTTCAAATTTTCAGATTTTAAGTATATTACAGAGATTATTACATCAATATAAGAGCATAACAAATGTTGAGTGAGCTAGAAAGGTTTTTATTGAATGAATGAGAAAACAACACATGGTTTACATAGAAATGTACAAAAAAATGTATATGTAAAGTCAATAATCCCTGTTTAAAGGAGTTAATTGTAAAACATAACCTAGTAAATTACTGAGTATACTTACCATCAGATATTAATATATTTCTGAAGACATTGAGGTAATAATATCCCAGTCTGTTGATTTACTGAATACTTACCACCAGATATAAGTACATTACTGAAGTCATTAACCCTTTCTCTTCCGGCGCATTTTACGTGATTTTGGAGTCCTTTTGACATGGCATTATTAAATTATTTCTAACTTTTTTATCCAAGGGGAAAGCTAGGCATAATGCATACCATTTTGTAGGAAATTTCTTACAGATGATTTTTTATGACTGTTTAGATACTCAACCACTGACCTTATTAGTAAAAATTGAGGTCAAAGGTCAATTAAGTGCAAAATTTTATGGAATTTTTTGATACTTTTTCATCTTTAAGCTAAGTATTAAGTATGATGTATGTTGAAATAGGAAATTTGGGATATACTCACAAAAAGAGCATTATACTGTACTACATGAAACACATAAACTTTTTTTCAATTCTGCATATAACTACTTAAAAGGGGTTGCTAAGCAACGCAGAATTCTTTAATTTTCGGGCAGAAATTTTCATTTTTTACTTATCCTAGACACATTTATGCATCCCAGCACATATAAAAGTTAGATGTGAGGTCATAAATTTACAAGGGACATACAACAGATAAATTGTCTTAAAGTTTGACCTTTTAGAACTACTTTTAGGAGGTCAAAGGTCAAATAAGTGCAAAAGATTCATCAATTTTTTTCAACACTTTTCAATATTCTTGCCATAATCTTACACAATGGATGCTGAAATGGAAAATTCTGAATATACTCTCAAGAAGGGATCAAAACTGCAATATCCATGCATCATTTTATTTCAAATATCTGTTTAATGACCTTTAAGTGGTTGCTAAGCAACATCATTTTAAAGTTTTTGGCTATATACATGTTTGTTATTTCACATTCTGGACACATTCTAGACACTTTTTGTATATTTCATGATATTGTTTGTAAGATATGGGCCATAAAGACGAAAGAACATTTTTGTATTAAAAATTGACCTTGACACTCTCGTTCTTTGGGGGGTCAAGGTCATATCAGTACAGAATTCTGCTTTAAACTGTAAGTAAATATCAATTTTGAAATGCTTCAAACATGGATAAATCATCTAATAGTTGATGTAATAAAAATGGCGAACGACAAAATTTGCAAGCAAAGAATTCTGGTCTGCTTCTTACAAAGCCCTAGCAAAACATGTATACATACTATCTTTTTGTTAAACAAGAAATCCATTCACTTGATGACATTAAAAATAATCTTTATTTTCATGGATTTAATCTAACAAGAAAAAACTAAATGATTTCATTAGAAGATTTTTCTGGTATAACAGAGCTTAAGGGGTACAATAAAGACTTGACATGTTATCTTGGAGGGAAATAATAATAAATAAATAGATAGCATTGGCAATATTTAACACAAAACTGTTTAGTCAATAAGTTGAAAATTTGACGCTTATATCCAAATATATAAATCCAGAAATATTGCAAGATGAATTCCAAATCAGACTGAAATCTTCAACAAAATGTTGAAGAGCATTTTTACTTTCTGTCCACCATTCTTTTAGCAACTGTCATTTCTCTGTAAGACTGGAGGAAATTCTTTGACTTGTCCAAGACATTATTATTTGCTGTCAAGTACAAGAGATCAGCTTCTATCCTGTAAAAGATTTAAGTATTTCAAACAGATACATTTCATTGTGAATATAAATTTATATTTATAAATAAAATTAAGAATGCTAAAATTACTACATTTATTTGATTTTCCTTTTAAAATTAAAATTGTATTTATTATGTGATCCAAGTAGTTAAATGATATTGTTAAGTCAATGTATCAGGACTGATAATTCAACAACCTTGTAGTAAACCATCATGATAAAAATTACTGAACTAAAACAAATAGCATATATGGCAATCTGACTAAAGCCAGACCTCTGTTTACGCTATCGCAACATGTTAAAAAAATCTGGCATTAGATTGCTACGAAAGCCAGGAAGGGACACGTAAATTTTTCAAAAAAGTAAAAAATGATATCAAATCGAATTAGACAATCCAATCCCACGGATTACTAAATTGTTCCCTCAATTTATAATATGAGATCTCGAATTACACAATCCGATCTTAAGGATTACTAATTCGCCCCCTTGATTCATAATTTGAGATCTCGAATTACATACCGGTAATATGTTTTCACAGATTGATAATTCGACATCTTGATTTGTTACAACGTAAGTATTATGATTTTGGAAATCTGTGCTCTTGAATTTCATTACATATATGTACAGATACATCCAACCATTTTAATCAATAAGTGCGTTCTATTTATTTTGTTTCAGCAACCGGTCGTCCAACCTCTCTCATAACTAATTCAACGTACATTTATTTTAGAAATATTATGATTACATAGGACCCATATTCACTTTTACAACTAGGACTTTCAATTATTCTAATATACAACTAACACAAAAACCTCTAAGATTTTTTGTTGTACAAATATAAGTACTAGCACATGGATTTGGAAATTTTCATGTTTTTTTCTCATTTTGGACCGTAATAAGTAATAAAAGTTAGGATGTAAAATACTACAATATTCTTTTTTTTAAACATGTATTACCATATCCGATATGTACAGATAAATAATTTAAACGAAATCATGGGAAGGGTTTACATTCCGAGGGAATGTATCATTTAAACTAAGAGAATGAATTTTACAATCTGAGATAACGGATTGTGTAATTTGAGGAAACGAATAGATAATCTGTGAGAATGAATTGGCAATTTGTTAAAACAGATTGTCAATAGGAGAGAACAAATTGTATATATCAAGAACTCGGTTTACTTTTATGAATTTTAAAAATTCTATGTCCCTTCATCATGATGTTCATGGTTTTCATAGATTTTATACCTGCATGGCTGCCAGGGTTGTAAAAAGAAAGGAGACAATAGACTGCAATGTTACTTCAGGGCAAAAATCCTGGAGCAAGGCTGTTCGTGAGCATGGGAGTGTTGATAAACCATCCAGTGAGTTTGACCACCCATGTACATGATGTACCATAATTGGAAAGTGTCTGAAAAATTGAGAAAATTGAAATTCTAACCACATACTTTATGCAGATTGGAAATACAACAGCAGTCTATAAAAACAGCTTGTGCCATATCTCCACATTCATTCAGATAGATAATTAAATACATGGTTAAATAATGTGTCTGTATGAATAATCAAGCATCATAAGTATTATGTGTTTCAAACACTTATTTTTCAAAATATAAATCAAATGTTTATAAACTTGTATGAATGCAATTTCATGAGAATGACACAAATGAAATTAGACTTTATTTTTTGAAATTTTAGAAATACAGAAATTTTCAATACCAAAACAAAAATTTACCTGTTCATTGGTGTCCTTACATATTAATGACCTTCGTAGTTCATGGTGGGCTTAGAAAGTGGGTATTCACAGATGAAAGTATTGTTGTATATGGTGAAAGCACCCTAAAAATTCAATGTGAAAGTGGTACATGTACACACTGGTACTGTACATACATACTGAAAACAGCTATCCATTATTATGACAACTTTGATTTTACTTTGAACTTACGAGTGATTGTCAAAAGCATCAAAGTTCAAAAGCAATGCAAAATTGGCTGAACGATACGAAATACACTGAAACATAAAGATCTAGTACATGTGTACATTTAGTTTTCTTTTGAACGTGAACTAATGCGTTTTAAACTTAAAACTTTTCAGTCAATATACACGTATTCTCACCTGCTAATACCAAAGGCATGTCCGTATTATTTGATTCATTGATGTGAGGATCTTCATCGTGAAATAATCATGAAAATTGACGTTCAGATTTCGGATCATGTTTTTGTTTACATCTACCACAGCGGAAACACGTGGTTATTTCAATTCGTATCAACTCATACAGTGATGAGTCGTATTTATTTATAAATGCGAGTTCTTGTATTGTTAAATTTCGTTCCAATATTATATAGATCTAATTGAATTGCAAATTAATAAGTATACAGTATAACAAGATACAACAATATTAAAAACCTGATTTATTTTTTTTAGTAAAGATCGACGTTTTGGAAATCTACAATTTTTATCAATATTTGTATATCACTTCAAGAAATATAGGCCTACATCATGACATGTAGATGAATAAATCAACATTCACTTCACAAAAGGCAGAACGAAAGTATATGTTTGTTTTTTGAAATCTATTTTTTTTTTTGTATTATGCATTTATTTCAGTAAAAAATATATTTAAATGGTCAAAAAAGTCTTATAAAAGAATTTTTTGTTTCGAGTAAGACGCAACAATATTCGACCTTGACGTTACATGTAAATATTGACCGATTTTTCCATAAAAACTATGCGAAGGTCACAAATTCAAATTATCGTAATTAAGAAAATACTGAGCGTAAGAAGACCTATAAGGGCTTGTTGGAAAGGAAATTTTCTCTTCTTTTGCCCAGCTTTATTTTGTTTTCCCTATTTCAACACAGAAATAAACGTAAAACTGAGCTTTGTTTAAATATTACGAATAAAATGGAGAAAAAACACAAAAGTGCAAGAAAAGTCTTGTTTTTAAAATATACCTTAAAGTAATAGCAATAATTTTTACATATTTTAAAAGTAGAGAAAATATGCTTTAAGAATATACCATGCTTTCTTATAAAGTTAATCAGGAAAAAAATTGTCAATCGTTGGAAAATCGGCAATCGCTTTGGAAAATTACGCAATTTTCAAAAAATCTCGTTTGTGTTTTTACAACGTAAAATCGATTAAATACCGGCAATCAAGAATATAATCTTTTTAGATATTTAAAAAGTAGAGAAAATTTCCAAAAAGATGATATACAGCTTATATACCTTCATGCTACCACAAATTATATACGGAGATCTTATTTTCGCGAAGTCGTGTTTTAACGCGCCACCGGTCAATTTGACCGGTACGGAAGTGAAGGGGTTAAGGTAATAATATCCCAGACTGTTGATTTTACTGAATACTAACCACCAGATATGAGTATATTACTGAAGTCATTGAGGTAATAATATCCCCAGACTGTTGATTTACTGAATACAAACCACCAGATATGAGTATATTACTGAAGTCATTGAGGTAATAATATCCCAGACTGTTGATTTTACTGAATACATACCTCCAGATATCAGTATATTACTGAATACAAACTTCCAGATATAAGTATATTACTGAATACAAACCTCCAGATATAAGTATATTACTAAAGTCATTGAAGTAATAATATCCTAAACTGTTGATTTTACTGAATACAAACCTTCAGATATAAGTATATTACTAAAGTCATTGAAGTAATAATATCCTAAACTGTTGATTTATTGAATACATACCTCCAGATATCAGTATATTACTGAATACAAACCTATATAAGTATATTACTGAAGTCATTGAGATAATAATAGAGAGGTTGAGATTTCAAACGTGTACGTGTACGGGTACGTCTAGGAGGGGAATAACCTAAATTCTGTGTGTATTACGTCATCAATTTAAGTGACGTCAAAATTGCTACACGTTCGTAAAACTTGTAGAATGGAATCTACACGTAAGTGAAAACATGTAGCTTAGATAATAAAAATTAGCCAATTCAAGTGTGAAAATCTGATTGTTATACATTATATTGGATGTTTACTTTCAGAAGCACTTATTTTCAACAAGATTTGTTTGCATTCTGACGACAAAAAACCTTCTAAATAGTAGAAATAGAGACACCGATCGCCCTGTACACGTACATGTTACACGTCATAAAAATCTCAACAGACAAATTAAAAATAACGTGTACGTGTACGTCAAATTATCTACAAGTACACGTACGCGTACCATTAAAAATATCAACCTCTCTAATATCCCAGACTGTTGATTTTACTGATTTCATACATACCTCCAGATATAAGTATATTACTGAAGTCATTGAGGTAATATCCACTGTTGGTGTTGTTGCTAAACTTGTAATAAAGCTTCTAAAACACCTGTGTTCTGCAAAGAATAATCTGTACATTTACAAAAGTTAACATGTTTAAATCTCCCTCTCCTTTCTCTCTTTTACTCAAAGTTCCATCAGAGAAAAATCATTAAAATAAAATTTTGATTCTCTGTGCATATGGATAATATACCTATTATCTTTTATGTATATTTTACAGTAGATTTCTGGACCAGACAGTAGTCATTGGTGGGTGATAACTTACTTGAGTGATAACTTACTTGAGTGATAACTTGAGTGATAACTTACTTGAGTGATGACTTACTTGATTGATAACTTACTTGATTAACTTACTTGAGTGATCACTTACCTGAGTGATAACTTACTTGAGTGCTAACTTACTTGAGTGATAACTTACTTGAGTGCTAACTTACTTGAGTGATAACTTACTTGAGTGCTAACTTACTTGAGTGATAACTTACTTGAGTGATAACTTACTTGATTAACTTACTTGAGTGATCACTTACCTGAGTGATAACTTACTTGAGTGATAACTTACTTGAGTGATAACTTACTTGCAGCAGTTTTTGAGATCAACATACAGGAAGCACTCCATGGCAATAATGGCAAAGAAATAGTAGACTAGCATAATGACAACCACTAGACTAAAACAAAATAGGTCAAGGTTAAACTAAGGTTAAACTAAATATAGCACAATCATCATTACATGTATATATCTATAAAAAATTGCACCGTTTACAGTTCTTAAAATGATAATTTTTTAAAAATAATTGTAAAAATCTGCAAAACAAACAAAAGTAAAAAATCATGTTAAATAAAAATTAATGTAAAATTAAATCAACAAAATTCCAAATTGAGATGTTTACCTGATTAGCCTAGAGAATAGAATAAACAGAGTTCCTAGAACATCCCTGTAACTCCTCTTCATCTTAAACAACCTGATCAAATAACAAGTCAATAATCAGTCAAACAATTATAAAGTAAACAACCAAACTTTTATTGCAATAAACATATTTTTTCAATCCTTGTAATATTGCTGCTGTTTACTCAGTTAATATGTATGTGTTTCATAAACAGTTTTAATACAATATTTAAGAATTGTGCAAAAGAATCATTAAAATATACATTAAATTTTTTATTATGTAGAGAACTATCATAGGCATTTATGCCTGCTGTTCAATCTAATTCAATGAATAAAATATATTTTGAACTAAATTTTTTATTACACTAACATTCCTTTACCTGAGAAGTCTGAATGGCCTGAGGACAGTGATGTAGAAAAAAGAATCATTAAAATACTCTCCCAGTAAACCTATAACACTGGTCACTGTTACCAGGAAATCAAACCTAAAAATAACAACAAATATAGCCTTGTCACAATCAAACCTAAAATTACAGTATAAAAATATATGCTGGTCTCAATTAACAATTTACAAAAGACTGACTGGTTTCAACATTAGTGATGTACACAGGGTTATTTTCGCCCTTACTAACAATTTTGCCCCCTTTAAATTAACCTAGTCATAGTTCGGTTAAAAAAATTCTGTGTTATTTGAATTCGTCCTTTTTAAAATTTGCTCAAATGTGATTAGGGCCAAAAATAAAATGGGGTGAAATTTGCCTTGTAGGCTATACATTAAACCTAACAATAACTGTAAATTGATCATTCCAACAACTCAATTAAATCAAAATTGGTTTCTCATATCTGATATATAAGTTGCTGATTTGAAAACAGATAAACTGATACTTCTTCCAATCAACTGGGATTTTATTACATTTTATATCATAAAGGAGCTAAAAATAAAGTTTCTTACACATCCCATCCTGTTGTGAAATATTCCAGTGGACCCTTGGCAAGAATTTTTATTGAGGCCTCTAAGGTGTATACTGAAAGGTTAATAACAGCACATCATAAAATGCTCAAAATAATGCACTGATTACAAATTTCAAGATTAAACATAAACATTTAAAAGGGAAAAGGAAAATAAAAGATAATATAATAAAAAAAATTATTAGTGGCTTTGATGATTTATTGAAGATGCTTTTTTAAAAAAGGTGTATTTCCCAAACAATGATTTGGTACTGCCTTACCCCCTCCCCCCCCCCTCCCACCATCGACCTA